CTCCCCTGGTAGCCCATGTCGGCTGCCAGCACAATGCCACTGGACTCAAAGCTTGGACTGCTCTGGTGAGTGGTACCCCAGCAGCCACGAAGACCAGACAGAGGGGCAGACTGCTTACAATGCCCTCAGCCAACAAAGGACCAGGTCCATGAGTCCAGCACTAAATGGTACCCACAGAAGAGGACTCCAATGGCTACCATGCCCCTGACAACGCCATCAGTAGTCAAGGAAACACAAACACTCCATACTCCCAGAATGACTACATTAAAGACTGGCAATCCAAGTGTCCGCTGAGTGTGGATTGAGGGGTGAGTGTGAACGGGACCTGAGCATCCACAGAGCCGCACACCAGCGTGCCCTGGCTGACAGCTTCCTGAACACACACCATCAACAGTGCACAGGAATGCACGGAACCATGTTTCTCGTTGCTGGGTACCACTGCGCCAACTCCTACTCATAGCGACCCCATGTGGCAGGACAGAGCTGCCCCAGAGAGTATCTTAGGCTGTCATCTTTGCGGTAGCAAATCACCAAATCTTCCTTCCTCAGAGCCTCGACTCACGAAAGACCGTATGTTGAATGATTTCACTTACACAAAAGCCCAAATAGGCAAATTTAAAGAGACCGGGAGTACATTAGCAGTTGTCCAAAGGCTGTGGAGTGGCGCCGTAGGATAAGCACTCAACCACAAGTTCGGTTTGCACTACAAGGTCGGCAGTTCAAACTCACCAGCTGCTCCTCAGAAACCCTATACAGGGTCACTATGAGTCACAACCAACTCGACGACACTTACCAACAAAAATCTGTGGGTAAGCACTAGTGAACACAGGGTTTCATTTTTAGGTTGCTTTTATTTTATTTTTATTACCAAGCAAAATTGAGGCAGAAATCACATAATACAAAATTAGCCATGCAAACCACTGGATTAATTTAATTTCACAATAGTTCGGTGAATTTAGCTCCAGAACTTCATCACCCCAAAAGGAAGCCTGTGCTGTGGGATTTCTGTTGCTACTGTACCTTCCAGTCTGTTCCAACTCCTAGTCAGACTCAAACTCATAGCGAACCTGTGAATGGCTGGTGAATTTGAACCGCCGACCTTGCAATTCAAGTGGACCCTGCGGTCCAGTGCATTATCCCACAGCACCACACCAGCGGTTTCTGTTAGGGAGGACAAAACATCCTACAATTGAATGTTAAGATGGCTGCACAAGTCTGAAGGTACTCGGTTTGAAATTATGGGATTGTACACTCTAGATGGGTGAATTGTATGGGATATAAATGATATCTTAGCAAAATGGTTTTTGAAAGAATGAGAGACACCCATGGAAAATGCTCTCTGGTACTCCTCAGAACAGCCCCAAGGGGAGCTAACAGATGTGTGTGCCCACAGAAAAATGAGCAGGACTCTGGGCACATGGCGGCACTTCAGGTGTGGGCTCAGCACCCAATGAGAATGCTTTCAATGTTCCTAGCTGTGGGTACATTCTGTAGCAAGTCAATTCTTGCCCCCCAGCTCAGGGGGGGAAGGGGTCCAGGAAATCCAGAGAAAGCTCCACAGGGGAGTTCTGATCATGTACCACTGAGTCTCCAGGCAGCAAATGCAAGGAGGGAAACCTGCTCAATGAGGCACGTCACAGAGGCCAGACAGCAAAGGGCTCAGAGATTGGATGCCTCCACCCCATCCATGCCCTGAGCAAATCTGCTGAAGGAATTCAATGCCCAGTGCAAAATCAAAATACAGGCTTCCTTGTTCAAAAATGACCTTAAAGCAAACCATCGTTTAGTCTAACTGGTAAAGGACGTCTGCCTTTACCAAGCTACCTACATGCGATCATGTTAACAAGGGCAGCTCAAAAGGGTCAGCAGGGAGTTTCGAGGGCAGAGAGTTAATGTCCATGGGGCAGAATCCCTTGGAGAAGGAGGGAGGACGGGTGCACAATTTCAGCCGTGGATCCAATGTTACTGAATGACAGACACAGGAGTGGGTGAATTGGAGCATGTATTCTAACGACGACAAACTAAAACACAGTATTTTAAAAAGAAACCGAGTTGAGGATTTCTAGATAGGGGGATCAGATGGGAAGGTGCAGTGTGGCACATCCTGAGTGGCTCTCTGGTGGGTACTGGAGGTCAGCTGACCAAGGTCCCAAGCGCCCGCAATCCCCACCCTCCAGCCAGACTTTCTCAGGCTCCTGACAGGGGGTGATCAGTCAAGGGGATCTTTCTGCAGGCTTTCCGGCTCTCTGCTATAGGCAGCAGCAGGTCCCAAAGTGAGAAACGCAGCCTCACGTGTGTCTGTGACTCAGAGGAGGGGCTTCACTGTGTCCTCACAGTCCCCCAAGTGCACCTCCCATCTGTGTGCTACCTCAGTCACACCTGGCCTGGACCTCTCTTCTGCACCAAAGTGCTCACCTGTCCAACCATCAAGTTGGCACTTCTCCTGAGAGCCTCCGCAGTGCAGACTGGACAGGAGGCACAATATGGGCCAAGGGGCAGGGAAAGGCACAAGCAGGGGGCATGTCCAGGTCCTGCCTTGGTCTCCATGAGCACCCAAAACCCCCTGTCCTCATGGACTGGGCACAGGAGACCCTGCCCTGGGCTCCACCCAGCCAGTCAGCCTTGAGGGTACTTCCGGCTCATGCTCCATACTGCAGACCCCAGCCCCTTCCCTGTGCCCCCAGAGGGGGTCAGCAGAAGGGTCTTGCCCCTGCCCCACAGTGTCACAGGTCTACTTGGGAAGCTACCACCTGAGGACAGGAGTCCTGGGGAAGAGGCAGGCTCGAGATGACATCCCTACTGCCAAAGCCGGCAGCCCCAGGGCTGGGGAACTCCCGGGTCTCCAGGGCACCCTGGCCGAACTGACATCTCTGCACTGGCTCAGGTCCCTTGGCTCATACCTCCTCAGATGAGGCTGGAGAGCACAGGAGGGCTCTCCAAACTCTCTGAATCATAGTCTCCCCTCCCCCAGTCAGCCCAGCTGTGGCTCCTGTCCCCAAGGCACCCACCTGGGTCCCTGAGCAGCCAGCAGAATGATGGGAGAGCAGGACCTCAGAGGCACTGCACCCTTGGCCAGGTCCCCACTGCCTGTCCCAGCACCCAGGCTGTCCCTGAGCATATGGCCCTGATACTTAACCCCGTCATTCTCAGTCATCCTCGGTGCCACCCCTGTACTCGGGACACAGTCCCACACTCTGCCTGTACACACACACTTGGCACTACCATCAATGACTACAGCTACAAACCAAGACAGCCTTTAAACACACAGAGCCCCTGTCGCCAAAAGAACCACCTCACTTTACTCTAAGGATACAAAAAAGCCAAAAGGCCTCAGCGGTGGTCACAAGGAGCCCTGGGGACAGGATATGGTGAGTTACCACCTACCTCTGCATCACATGGTCCCATTTTACAGATGAGAAGACTGAGCGAGATGAGAGGGGAACACAGGGGTTCCAGCTGTGGCCTGGCCCCCCAACACCCGCAAGAAGATTGGCACAGAGCCTTAGAGAACCCAGCTCAGTCTCCCTCTCCATCATCACCCCTAACACCCCCGCACCCAGGCACACAGTGCTGACTCCATGGCCACTGTGCTGAGCCCTCCACCGCCCCCCGCCCCTGGCACCCCCCCCCAACACACACAGGGGTACCTCCTAGGCGCCTGACAAGTTTCACCTCTGACGTCTTGAAGCTGACACATTGTAATCACAGTCCGCACAGCTGTTTACGCAAACCTTTGCTAGGCTTCCAGAGCAGCTGTTTCTCCCAGGGGTGGGGGAAGGGACATTGCTCCAGCCCAGGGTGAAGCACTAGGGGGCGGTGCTGGGCCTCTGCAGAGAGCTGGTAGCAAGGCCTGGGGGTCTCCATCCTAACCCTCTGTCAGCAGTCTCAAGGCTACCATCCCAGGGGACAAGGAGGACAGGTGAGACAACTGGACCTAAGGTGGCCTGGGCCGGGGGTCTGGGCCTGGGCCAGATTGTTGGGTTCCCAGCAGTTCACTCACCACACCAAGTTCTTCAATCCCGGAGTTCACCCTGGGGTGGGTCACCCCAGCGTTTCAATGAGGGGGAGGGGCAGACAAGCCTCCCATCAACTCCCCTCCCCCAGAAGTAAATGCCTTCAGACCTCTGCCCAAGGGACCCTGAGCACCCCAACTCCCGTGGGAGGCCCGGGGCATCACGTGCACAGTCTTTGTTTGGACCGGAGCAAGCTGTACAGAGCAGTGACGGAGGTGTGGGTGGGCTGGCTCCAGGTTGGGGGTCTCTCTTCCACTAGGGCCAAGGAGCTGGGAGAGGTCAGGAAAGAGTATCCACTTCCTTCTGTCAGGCCACAGATGCCTTGTGCCCACCCCTGCCCAGGCCAGACAGCTGCCGGGTAAACACACCGCTGGGGGAGGGGGCCCAGGTACCCTGCAGGCAGCCACCGCCAGGGGTGGGGGGTCTGGGCACCCACGGGGGACTCCCGAGGCACCACCTGCCCCCTCTTGTCTGTGCTCAATCCTGTGGCTCTGTCCCAGGGGCCGGCCTCTACCCACCCCCCAGGCGGCTCCTAGAACCTGCTCCCAGCCTAGGGCCGCAGCCTGCCTGAGTCTCTGCCAGGCCAGCATCCCTAACCACGGGCGAGGGGCTTCAGGCCTGGACATCCCTGCTCTCTTGGCCACCTGGGAGCCCACTGGGGGTGGTGGTGGAAGGGGGCAGGTGGCAGTTACTGTATCGGGGAGGCTCCCACAGAGAAGTTAGGTACCCGCACCCTCGGCTGCCAACCCAGCTGGGCCCTGTCTACCCGAGGCCTGCCCACCTCCGCGATCCTGGGGCCCTGGGGGCGTCCTGCCCTATGCCTGGTCCTTCTGCTGCCTCCGCTCAGGTGGGGAAAGAGTTAATCTCCGTGCAAAATAATCAACGCTGCCCGCCCGCCCGCCCGCCCGCCGGTCCAGGAGGCCGCAGTCCCGGAGGCGTCCCCGCGGCCACTCGGGCAGGTGGGGGCATCCGCAGCGGCGGACTCACCCGGGTCGAAGTGCGAGCTGAAGGCGAAACTGGGGTTGAAGAAGGACGACGACATGGCCAGGACCAGCAGCGCGGCCGGCATCGGGCGGCGGCTCAGGACGCCCGCGGCCCGGGCCCGCGCCGCTGCATCGCCCAG